TATATTTAGTTGTGAATGTTGCGTTGGTATATTTAGTTGAAATCGAAATTCATAGGCTGTAGCGTAGCTGCTGCTTGTTGGTACATTGCAGATTTGCATTCCCTTAGTGTATTCTAAACCTGTAATATACTTCCTCGAGTTGGTTCTCTTGATTATACACCAATTATGGTTTGGATTTAGAGTTTGCTCTTAAGGTGTTTAGATAGTATAGCGTAGAAGGATGGTGGGAGGTTTTCATCTGTCTATTATGGTACATGGATATGTGTAGGCTCAGGTAGGAATATTTTGTGGGCAAGAGATTGGAAATATATCAAGCTTTGCATCATCCGGAGCTCCTTCAGACAATAGTAGCTCTTCTCTTTGTGTTAAGGGTGTCGCTCGAAATGGTTCGCCCCCATGGCGAGAAGATGACAAGGATGGACATTACATGTTTGAACTTGGAGATGACTTAACTCAACGCTGTAATCCCACTTTTCCATTCCCACGACCTGTTTTGACAATCTTGAAAAATTATCTTATAAATTTCTCTGGATACTTTTTTTTTTATAAATGGATTTGAACAAACTCTGGGTGTCATGCCAGTTAATTGGTACAAGTAACCATATCTGGTGTGAAGAATTATGTGACCTTGCGTATATTTTTTTTGGATCGTTTTTCTCATTATTCTGTGCTCTTCTTATTTTGCAGATAAAATTTACAGCAAAATGGGTGAAGGTATGAATTTATATACTAGCTGTATGATATGGTTTTCACTTTTCATATGATCCAGTGTAGTAGTACGCGTATCTTATTCAAATATTTTGGAAATTGTTACTTTTAGGTACCTTTGGTCAAGTGTTAGAATGTTGGGATAGAGAGAGGAAGGAAATGGTGGCAGTAAAAATTGTCCGTGGAGTGAAGAAATACCGAGAGGCTGCTATGATTGAAATTGAAATGCTACAACAGCTTGGTAAACATGACAAAGGTGGCAATCGGTAAGTAATGTTTGTTGACTTTTCATCATGCATCACAAATCTGATGGGTTGGACATAGTTTCACAAGATTCTTTCTTTGCAAAGGTTAAATCAGTTTATTTTTGCAGTTGTGTACAAATTCGGAACTGGTTTGACTATCGTAACCATATCTGTATCGTAAGTATTTGGTCAATTTTGTGATGTCTTTGATTGTCCCCGGTTTGGGAACTATTTGGGGTTAAAATTTTGTGGATGAATTCAATATGGTTGCTACAGGTATTTGAGAAGCTTGGATCAAGTTTATACGATTTTCTTCGGAAAAACAATTATCGCTCCTTTCCCATTGATCTTGTCAGAGAGATTGGCTGGCAACTCTTGGAATGTGTTGCATGTGTGTAGTCGTTGCAGTCTTTTCAATCTACTTGCGCTTGCATTTTTGACTGGGCTTTGCTTGTCTTTGACATGGTTACATAATTTTTTGAATTTTAGCTCTCTCCAGTTTCTTAAGGCAATATTTCTTGTTTTTCTTTTTGCCTGATTTTGCAGTTATGCATGACTTGCGCATGATTCATACAGACCTTAAACCAGAAAATATTCTGTTAGTCTCCTCAGATTATGTGAAAATTCCTGTGTACAAGGTATATCTCAAACGGATTTGTGTGTGACCTTAGTATGGCCAACTTTAATTGCTAAAGGTTTTTGCTGTGTTTTCTGCTACAGGGCTCCCGATTACAAAGGGATGTTTGCTACAAAAGAGTGCCCAAATCAAGTGCAATAAAGGTGATTGATTTTGGTAGCACAACTTATGAGCGACAGGACCAAAACTACATTGTATCAACAAGACATTATAGGGCACCAGAAGTCATTTTAGGTGAGTAGCTCTCGTAAAACAAGTTATTCAAGTCTCTAGCTTCTGATTTGTGTACATTACAAACTGATGGAGAAACATGGCCTGTGTGCAGGTATGGGCTGGAGTTATCCTTGTGATATTTGGAGCATTGGATGCATCATAGTGGAGCTTTGCACGGTGTGTGTCTGAAATACTTGTTTTTGGATGAATCTTTGAGAGTTTATTACTTTTTTTTTTTGTTTTTAATTGAAAGTTTTGAGATTTGTAGGGAGAAGCATTGTTCCAAACACATGAAAACCTAGAGCATCTAGCAATGATGGAGCGTGTACTTGGGCCGTTTCCTCAACAATTGCTGAAGAAAGTGGAGTGAGTTAAAATCAAACATGTGCTCTGAAGTGATTATATATTTAATTGTTGGGTGTTCTAACTGGAATTCGTTTTTTGTTGTTTCTTTTGATTGTGATAAAGTCGGCACGCAGATAAATATGTGAGAAGAGGTCGTTTGGATTGGCCGGATGGGGCAACCTCAAGAGAAAGCCTGAAAGCAGTGCTGAAGCTTCCTCGGCTTCAGGTTCGTCAAGTATTGGTATTTTGAGTTCGGTTTTGGTGAATTGTTTATTTAGCCCATTTGTGTTACAATATTTGCGTGTTTTACAGAATCTAATAATGCAACATGTGGACCACTCAGCCGGGGAGTTGATAAATATGGTGCAAGGGCTTCTTCGGTTTGATCCGTCGGAGAGACTAACCGCCCGTGAAGCGCTGAGACATCCTTTTTTCACAAGGAGTCACATGAGAAGATAGAGGGGTCCACGACTTGGCCAGTGTAAATAGAGATGTATGTTTGTAGTAAAGCCTTAACCAAAGGTGCTAGACAACCCTACGAATTCCGAAATTGATTAAACGAATGCTTAGATCACTCTTTTTAATGTGATGGGCGATTATTTGTCTATCTTGTTGGAAAATAACATAATGTTTGATTGTTCAAAATTTTGAAGTTTCTCTTTTTTTTTTTAATCTACAGTTAGAGAGTAGTATAGTTCTGTAGAAGAGTTTCTAGAGTATTTTAATTCAAATCTCTTAAATCATCTAAAAACTCATTTAGAATTATTTCAAATCCTTGCAAATACTTGATTGAATATAATCCCCACAAGTATAACTACCACGATCATTCGAGAAGAAATTGCACAACAAAAACACAGGAGAGAGAGAAATCAAGATTTGACGCAAAGCTCTTTGTTCGTACTGTATCATGTTTGTGCATTATCACTTCAATGAAACAAAAGGTCCCTTTTTCCGCATTAGTTGCAATGCTCCAGAACCTTCAGTTATCTGATAAAAATTCTACATATTATCAATCAAAGACTTAACTAGTCTCTTTCACTTAGTAAGAAAAACCTAAACCAAGAATTTTCCAACAAATTTGGCTATTTTATGTCAACTTTGTCAGAGATTCTCCAATGTTTTTCTTACTTTCTCCATTGGACACACAATATTGGAAGCTCACATTGCTAGAAACTCTCCAACTTGCTCCATTCAAAGGACCTAAGATTAGTTTAGTTCAAGGAACTCAGCAAACACAGACAAACTATGCAATCACATACAAAAATGTCAACAATGTCATGAAATAGAACAAGAATCGAGACTACACCAAAAATATCAAGAAACACATGAATCAAGCAAGTTTAAGAGTTGCGACACAAACCCATGTTGAGAAAATGAGATTCAAAGAGAGAAAACAAT